TAACTAGGTGGAGAAATATATAATAGGCGGTCCTAGCAAAGAGAAGTTGTCGCCTGAGTTGAGTCTTGAAGGATAATCATTTTATAAACTAGGAGGCTTTGTGCTTGATTAACCGCGTCAGAGACATAATAACTTCACATACTCTGGTTAATTAACGAGAAGGCTGGACATAGGATAACGCTGCAATCTGGCAAACCCTCCATCTCAGCGCACTTCTTTGCAGCTCAAGGGAGTTCCAGGCAGTGCGCATCAGCCCAAGAGGTTCCCGGACTACCGGTCCCAGCAGGCCACGCGCCCGATACCCATGGACGTAGAGGATAAATGGGCGCAAGACCTGTTGGGAACAGTAGTTAATGGCGCCAACCTCACGACACAAGCTCTTCACACTTCCCACCAACTCCTTACTTGAGCTCTTCGGCCGAATACATCCCAAAGGAAATGCCCTGTAGCCGCCGCCAGGGCATGTTCTTTGAGCCCGACATCCTCCTGGTCAGTTTCGAGTTCTGGCACCCAGAAAAAAATTCCAATCACCACCAGCAAATTCTTAACACAACCACAAGCCCGCATCCACCATGTGATTTAAACTACGCTTGCGCGAGATAAACCCTCGCTGGAAGATTTACGTAGATGAGATCACTTCCGCTCTCAGGGGGGGAAGTAAGAATTTCACTTTCACTAGCTTTTTATTTTGAAAACAATCGAAGATATATAGTATTAAAACGATCGTTTCAGAAGACTTCTTTGCGGCAAATGAGGCATACAGAGCACTTAATTTCCGTAACGAAGTCTTGCAAACCATGAACTTTTCACGTATTTTATGATTGGTTCCGTCTTTTTGAGTTTCAGCCAATAGCTGAACTATTCCCGCCCACCTTCCCCCACCCCTTGGTAATCCGGAGAGTGGAGGGCATGCATTCCCAACATGCAATGCGAAGAAGTCGAAGATGGCCGTATCCTGTGTTCGCTGGGCCACGGTCCGCTGCAGGCTTTGCCTGCCGCTGACGGATCGGCGGGCAGGTCCATTTAGGCAAGCCCCTAGCTGCAGGTAAGAGAGGCTTGGGGAATNAATAATAATAATAATTTACCTTTTGTCATTCTTATGTGAAAGTTTATAAATAAACAGCTTTATTGATATAACTTACATACTATATAACGCATCCACTTAAAGTGTGCACTCAGTGTTTTTTAATATATCCACAGAGTTGTGCAACCATCACCACAACCTAATTGTAGAACATTTTCATACTCAGCCATAAAAACCCTGAACCCATTAGCAGTCACTCTTCATCCTCTCCACCTCCCTCACTAGTCCTAGGCAATGACTAACCTAATTTCCATCTCTAGAGATTGCCTATTCTGGACATTTCACATAAATGGAGCCATACAATATGTGCTCTACTGTAACTGGCTTCTTTTATTTTGCACGTTTTTGAGGTTCATCCATGCTATAGTATGATTCTGTACTTTTTTCTTTTTATGGCCAAGTAATAGTCCACTGTGTGGACATACCATATATTACTTATCCATTCATCAGTTGATGGACATTTGGGTTAGCTCTACACTTTGGTTATTATCAATAATGCTGATAGAAACACTGTGTACCAGTTTTTGTGTGGATGTATTTTTTCATTTCTCTGAGATATATACCTAGGAGTGGAATTGCTGGGTCATACGGTCACTCTATGTTTAACTTTTTGAGGAATTGCCAGACTGTTCTCCAAAGCAGCTGCACCATTTCACATTCCCACCAGCAATGGATGAGGGCTCTAATTTCTCTACTCCCACCACCGCTTTTTGCTGACTTTTGATCTAGCCATCCTAGTGGGTGTGATGTAATACCTCACTGTGGTTTTGATTTGCATTTCCCTAATGACTAATAATGCTGAGCATCTCTTCTTATGCCTACTGGCCTATCTGTATATCTTCTTTGGAGAAATGTCTATTTAAAACCCTTACCCATTTCTAATTGGGTTATTTGAACTGAGTGTAAAATGATGGTGGTGCATAAAGAGCTAAGAACAGATCCAGAAGACCCCACCTTGCATGACTGGTGTCACTCTGAGGGCCAAGGGGGGCTGCACGGAGGCCTGTTGATGTAGCATTTGTCTACATGGTCGCTTTGCTCCAAATAGGCTAATTACATGAGAAATTTAATCTAACTCCATGTTGTGTGAGTGATCTCTTGCCACAAACCTCTAGTCCACTTGCAACCTTGAATTGGATTACCCTGGATAAACTACTTAGCTTTTTTTCTCACCTCAAAATTGGCCAATGCAGTAGCTCCAGTATGATGACTAGAAGATAAAATATATAAAATACAGTTCTTGGAACAAAGTTCCTCTCTCTTGTTGGGGAAGAGGAGAAAGTCCTTCTAACCATGGCAGGAA